CAAAAGCTCCCTGTGCCCGGCCCAGGAGATTTCGTATCTGGGGCTGGTCTTGAATTCCAGGAGCATGACGGCTTCACTCTCGCCGGAGAGACAAGCGGCGGTTCAAAACCTGGGCCGGGTCGTTCTGGGCGAACCTCGGGTCCAACCGCGGCAGATCCGGTCACTCTTGGGCATGATGGCAGCAGCCCATCCAGTGGTGAGACTGGGGTTGCTGCACATGCGATATCTCCAGAGGTGGTTCTCACATCTCAGGGGTTTATCACGGAGGGAGCGACTGTCGGAGAGGGCTCGGAACGACGTCGCCTTCTGGCTGTCCCCAGGTCGACTCCAGGAGGGAGTTCGAATGGGTTTGGTGGACCACCACATCGAGGTCTTCACGGACGCCTCACTGAGCGGTTGGGGAGGCGTGCTCGGCCACCACTCGGCAGGAGGCGTTTGGTCCTCCCCCTTGGGGCACATCAACCTCCTGGAGTTGGAGGCGGTGCGGTTAGTACTGGCCCATTTTGTGACCAGACTGGAGGGCCAACATGTGATTGTTCGGACGGACAACACCACTGTGGCAGCTTACCTGAACAGGCAGGGGGGGACCAGGTCCCCCGCCCTTCACAGGCTGTCAGTGGAGGTTCTTCTGTGGGCGGACGTTCACCTAGCCTCTCTGAGGGCCCGTCACATCCCAGGCGAGCGCAACGTGGCCGCCGACAGGATGTCCAGGGGCGGGGCCGTGCGGGACGAGTGGGGTCTCGCCCCAGCGGTCGTGGCGGAGGTCTGGCTCCGGTTCGGAACACCGGTGGCCGACCTTTTCGCAAATGCAGAGAACGCACAGTGCCCACTCTGGTTCTCGCTCAGGTCCAGCGACGAGCCCCCTCTCGGGGTGGACGCCATGGCGCACAGGTCGTGGCCCAACGGTCTCCTCTACGCCTTCCCGCCTCTCCGGCTCTTGGCAGCCCTGCTTTACAGGGTAAAGAGGGAGGGGGTCTCCATCCTGGTGGTGGCGCCGGACAGCCCGGGAGCCAGGTGGTATCCGGACCTGGTGAGCATGGCGCTCGGTCCGCCTTGGCCCATTCCGGACCGTCCCGATGCTCTGAGACAGGCAGGGGGAGCCCTTTACTCACGCCCTGTCCTGGGACACAGGCTCATGGTCTGGAGGCTGAAAGGGGGAAACTGTTGAGCCTTGGTCTCCCTCCCTCAGTGGTCGCTACTATTCAGGGTGGGAGGGCTACATCCACCACCAAAGCGTAGGAGGTTCGCTGGAAACTCTTCGCCTCTTGGTGCGTGGACAGAGGCCTGGACCCCACCTCGTGTTTCCATGCACCCGTCTTGTTTGTCCCTCCCCGATCGGGAGGGCATGATGGAGTTGTGGCCTAACCCGGCATTCCAGCCCAAGGTCGTCACGTCATCTTTCAGATCTAGGGTGATCAGGGTGAGACCGTTTTTCCCTCCTCCGCATGCTTCGGAGGAGGAAGAGCGGCGTCATAGTCTCTGCCCGATCAGGGCTGTGAGATGCTATTTGGACCGCACGTCTGACCTCAGACGGTCGAATCAGTTGTTTGTCGGGTTTGGCACCAGGAGTCAGGGTGCTGCTTTGTCTCCACAGCGCTTGGCCCACTGGCTTTGCCTTGCTATTCGTTTGGCGTATGAAGCTCAGGGCTTGCCGCCTCCGGCCCAGTTGAGGGCTCACTCCACTCGCGGGGTTGCCGCTTCGGTGGCTTTGTTCCGTGGCACTTCGGTGGAGGAGATCTGCAGAGCGGCGTCTTGGTCCTCCCCCTCGACCTTTGTGCAGTTTTACCTACTAGATGTGGCCTCTGACTCTGTGGCTCATTCGGTTTTGAGTGCAGGGCGGCCCTAGTTCCTCCTTCGTCTAGGGTTATGTGGAGAGGTGTTGGCGCTCTTGGGAGAGGCGGCCTGGACACCTCTGCAGTAGGGGTAGGCGCTCTTGGGAGAGGCGGCCTAGACCCTTCTGCAGTCTGCTCTACATTCCTGGGGTTCAGGTGCTCTTGGGAGAGGCTGCCTGCCCAGGTTTGTTCTGAATTCTTTCCTGCTTTGCAGGTTGGGGAATGCGCGGGCACTCTTGGGAGAGGTAGCCCTGCATCCCTTTCTCTATGGCTCGTAGGACCTCCGTTTCTACCGCTTGGTTGCGGTATGAGCAGGAGGGTCACGAGTTTGCTCCAATCACCAGAGTTCATGCCTGCTGGGAGTACATTGGTCTGGGCTTCGCTATGTTATGCATTAGCGAAGCCTAAAGGGCGAAGCAACATATGAAATAGAAACCCCAGTTACCTAATGTAACTAAGGTTCTATGAATATGTTGCGAAGCCCTTTAGCTTCGAGCCCAGCAGGCCTGCCCTCTCTTATTCGGCTGAGTTCGAAAGGAGAAGAGCTGTGGTGCATGACCCCTTTTATAGGGGACAGACCTACGCCAGGACGTGAAGGTGATTGGAGGGTGGATCGTTTGATCTTCTCAGGGCGGGAAGCGATGCTTCCGAAGAGATATGCATTAGCGAAGCCTAAAGGGCTTCGCAACATATTCATAGAACCTTAGTTACATTAGGTAACTGGGGTTTCTGTTCTGTCTCTGTGCCGTGTGAGCTCCTCGGAACATTAAACAGTGCGCTGACAGATTAGAAATAACGTAAGTACTTTGAATGGTAATAGATCTACAGTACTTTCCTCTGATTACTCACGTGCTACAACGCTCAGGGAACGAAAAAAAACACTTGCTTCACGCTGGCTAACTTTTAAAAATTAAACAGTCGCCAAGTGCTTCAGTTTGGCGCTGAAGAAGACAGCCAATCACTGCAGAGAACGGAACGGGTCACGTGCTGCTGCTGCTGCTGCTGCTCTGGAGGCGAGGAGGAGGCGCGACGTGTGCACAAACGGAAGACATGTGTCCCGGACCGTCCGGGTCACGGGACATCATGTCATTTTGGTGGGGACTTTTTAGTCCTCACCAAATATTGGTGGGGACATGTCCCCATGGTCCCCACGCAAACCTACGCCCTTGAGCCCTCCCAAGTGTCGTTTGGCCCACTTAAGGCTGTAAGTTTTGGTTTTGAAGATTGTCATATCTATATGTTATTATTCTGTATGTACTGAGATCAACCGTAATTCGTTTCCTGTGAGAAATATGAGTTTTGCGTGTCACTGTAAAACGTTAGCATTCGTTAGCATTATGCTAGCGGACTTTTCTTATGCTAATAGAGCTGTTGAGTAATACTGTAATATTTTATGGTCATTCCAACTCTGTAATGTTATTAGACAGTAACTACTGTTAGTTGGCATGCGCCTCATGTTCGGCGACCCCGCTCCCATCTCTGTGTGGAGTGAGAGACAAATGCCCAAAAAAAAAAAACTAACAATTGTAAACCGCTTTGTGACTCTGGTCTGTGAAAGGCGGTATATAAATAAAGCTTACTTACTTACTTACTTAGTTCAGACAAAGAAGACACTGTAATTCACTGATTCTAATTGCTGTATTTTTGTGTGTTACAGTTTTACAGTAAATGAGTAAAACAAACTCATATGTTTGCTGTCTGTCTTAGCTAAATAGCTCACAACATTTAGTGAGGACAGAACATTTGGTCTGGTGTCAAAAAGCGTGTCAGCGTTTTTTGTCCGGTGTGAACGCGCCTAACGCGCTTGACCTTTCTGACGCCGGTGGGAGGAGCTTCTCTGTTGCCGGTCCTCCAGAGAAGATGGCGGATTTCGAGAGAGTAGCCCTCCTTTACTTGTTGTACAAGTCCATACAACGTCGTCGTAGGGCTTCTACACGACGTGTGTGGGTTCACAACTTACTTGAGAGGCGTGCAGTGTTGGGTGAGTTCCACCATTTACTCCAGGAGCTGCGTACAGACGAGGCTCGCTTTCAGCGGTACTCCCGCATGTCAGTAGCCCAGTTTGATGACCTGCTCACCCGCATCGGAGCTCGCATCGCCCGCCTGGACACCACTACAGGCGCTCGATTCCAGCGGAAGAGCGCCTGTCCATCTGTCTGAGGTTAGTGAGAATTTTCTGAAAAAATACCTACAAATACAATAGGAAATAGCGTGGAGCGAGAAAGAGGAGCGGCCAGAAGCGGTAAAGATGAATATGTCTTAATTTGGACATAAAAGTTAATTGTAATAACATTTGAGGTGTGAAATATCCCCCACTATTGTCATATCAGGTCTGTTCGGTGATTAAACAGAATTTTTCCCTGGCGCGGACCAATGCTAACCGGCTAAGCACGGAACACGTGAACCCGAGGAGGCATTTGTAACAGACTTTCTCTGTTATAATGATTGTATTTAGAGTTATCATTATTTTCAATTATTAATTATATATTTGGCCCTCGTTTGTGCATTTGAAGTTATTTTGAAGGTGCATTGTGTCAGGTGAAGTTATTAGAAAATAGATAAATTGAATTTTCTGTTTACAATCGCAGGGCCTGCCATCTCGTTTACAAGCATGTTGCTTATTAAGTCCAGCATGGTCTGCTACTTAATATATTCAGTTTCCTAAAGTTGTATTTAGTCCCATTAAGTATTTAACTCCTCTGATTTCACTAGAGGGTACATTTCCATGCTTGGTGCAATTCCTGATAGACAGAATGTAACAAAAACAAAACTACAAAATCATATTGTATGATTCATTAACAATATTTTTGTAAATTACTGAGTCATAAATGTATTTGTATCATTGTAGGTTTCTTGCTACTGGGGACTCCTTCCGGACAATAGCAAGCAGCTTCAGGATGGGAATCTCCACCATCTCCAGCATCATCCCAGATGTGGTGGCAGCCATCTGGGACGGCCTGGTGGAGGAGTTCATGCCTGGGCCTGGAGAAGAGGAGGAACAGAAGAAGAGTCTGTTTCCTCCCTTGCAAAAGAAGCCACCTCATCGCAAAACACTACTACTAATAGTGCTCCATTGGTTCCAAATTCAGCGTAAATGTGCTGCTCTCCTAAAGTAATTTATGAATTTGGAATTTGACAAATTCTATCGACAGAGAGCGGAGGAAGAGCTCATTGTGTGAGCATGGTGCTGGAGCTAGAGCTGCGGTCCGCCGCACGCAGGTAGGCCAGCAGCTCCAGCTCCAAGCACGTTGGCTCCTGGGTGGAGGTGTCCTGGCTGCAGCGCTTCCTCCTTCTCTTCCTTTGTGGACCTGCAAACACCACAGGACAATGACTTAAAAAATTTAAAGTCATGAGAATGTAGGATATGATAATCTATGAACAACTTTGAAATCCTTTGCTTTTGTTAAATAAAATAACTAGATCCTCTGTAAAAACAGTATTTAATTGGAATATCACTTTTTAATGACCACATATTCTAGAGTATATATGAAATGTTTAATATAACGTTTATACTTTCAAAACAATTACATTTAATTCCTACACACCTGTAGGTGCAGCAGCAGAGGACGGTCCAGCAGCAGAGGACGGTCCAGCAGCAGAGGACGGTCCAGCAGCAGAGGACGGTCCAGCAGCAGAGGACAGTCCAGGAGCCGAGGAAGAACCAGCAGCAGTTGACGGTCCAGGATCCGAAGACGGTCCAAGAGCCGAGGACTGTCCAGGAGCCGAGGACTGTCCAGGCGCCGAGGTCGGTCCAGGAGCCGAGGACTGTCCAGGCGCCGAGGTCGGTCCAGGAGCTGAGGACGGTCCAGGAGCTGAGGACTGTCCAGGAGCTGAGGACGGTCCAGGCGCTGAGGACGGTCCAGGCGCCGAGGACGGTCCAGCATCAGCACTCGGCTCTGTCTCTGAGCCTAACTCTGCATCAGCTTGTTCTGCTATTAAATAAATTACTTTTAATTCACAGCATGTGTACAATAATTTGGTTACTCCCTTATTATGAACGTTACTACTCATACAACATTGCTAATAACAATAATGACAACAAAACAGAAACGTGGGCAACTGCATAACTTCTTTCCATACGTTGTTTTTTAGCTACAGACCTCCTGCATCTGACAGCTCCGCTGCTGCTGCTGGTGGTTCTTCCTCCCGGAGGTGGCTCTCCACAACATGGTGCTGGCATGTTGTGGCCTCTGTGTTACGAAGGGCTCAAGGAAGGAGAGCAAGGCAAAGTACTTCCACCTCCTTGTTGTATTCCTTGTTTTGTCTTCAATGATTTGAGAATCATAATGAGACCTTTTTAGTTCTGTGGCCACAGTGGTACTTTACCAGTGAGATTAGCTCGATGCGGTGAGTTCTAGCAACCTGGATTACGGACTCTGAAACGGTGGAGGGCGGGACATCAAAATGAAAACAATAACAAGATTTAGGGGCTGTAAAACTTCTTTTGAAATAATATCTTGGCTGATCTACAGTTATCAGTTAAAGAAGTGTTTGAGAAGAGCATGTTTATTAATGCCTTTTGACGGATTAGGGCCATTAAATGATAACTTGACATGACAATCTTACATACGTTAAGGACAATAAAGTATATAATCTTGAGAGTTGTGATATGAAATGAAAGCCACCCTTCTACTGTTGAGTGATAGCAGGAGTCAAACTATCATAACCCCAGTTTATTGCAAATCAAATGAAAAGGAGACAAACTGAATACAGTCCTTGCGATTAAACGTTACATAACACTTTGCATATACAGTTCTGAGATCAGCGCGAGCAGCAAAATGGCACAAATCTCCAGTGGGCATCAGCTGTGTTTTCTCATTTGTTTTATCTTGGCAAACACAGCCTCCAACAGATCACTTTCATTGCTTCGGATAATGCCATTGTCTATCAGTGCTTGACCCCAGCGAGGCCCAAAAACCCTGAAAAGGACCAGTGTTTGTGGCGATATTGCCTCACGTCCCGTCCCTTCCCCGTGCCAAGCCTTATAGCAACCCTTGGCCGGCTCTCCAGTCAACTTGTTTGGCTTCCATGTCCCAGCAAAAAAAAAAAAAAAAAGACAAGATTAAAATGCAGCTGTAATATCCCATTGGGCCCATGGAGGCGGAGGAGAGAGCCAAGCACAGGGGGATGGAGGCCAGAGCCAATGGGGCCGGTCCAGAAGTAACCAGTGCAATGGTGGAGCAAGGGGACAGACACGCAGGACTGAGAGAATGGAGAGAGCAAAGAGGGAGGAATATTAATGAAGCTGTAATGCAGTGGACCAAAGTCAAGTCTGGGGGTTAGTATGAACAGAAGTGGGAAGAACTCGCAAACAAAGAGGATTTCATTGAGGTTTTTATAATAGTTCAGAAAAAAGTTCATTGTGTAGCACCGCTGACTTCTTCATTATTATCATTTTTTCTTATCGTATACAAAATCTCTTTTTTTTTTAAAGTAGAATTTTAGCTTTGTATTTACATGATCTTTTTTGTTTCATTTTCTTTTCTCTTATTTTTTGTTCAAGTGCTTGTACTGTCTGTGGAATGTAGACAGTTCAGAGACAGTAACGTTGTCAGACACAACACCTTTACCCCTACTTTAATTCATAGTAATACAAGTAGTTGAGTATATGTCACTGTAAGTTTTTTTTTTTTTAAGTTTTTTTGTTTGATTTACGGGCCTGTCATGAGGTCAAACAAGGAAGGACCCAAAAGCAGAACTGCAAAATAATTTCAATTGAATAACTGCCACAAGAAAACTAAATCCAGAAGTAAAAACTGGGAAATAGTATGAACAGAAGTGGGAAGAATTTAGACAAAGTGGATATTATTGCGTTTTTTTACTTCTCAAAGTAAAGTTTTCAGACACAATACTTTGACTTGAGTTCATGGTAATAATGGTCATATTCAAGTCCTAGTGTACTGTGATAATGTAAGTTTTTCTATGTTTCTTGTCTTGTTTTGTTCAGCACTTTGCGTTGTCTCTTGTATGAACTGTGCAATACAATTAAACTTGGCCTCGCTGTTTTCTCCCTCCATTCACTACAACGTCACAGCAGATACTTCCGATAGTTTAGATAGATTCAGATAGTTACTTTTGTAAAGAACTGGCAAATGATGCAGAACAGGACCACTATTACCCCCTTGTGGCACAAAAAAAAATATGTATTTTTATTATCAAACATCAAAACCATAAATATGCACAAACGTCCCCACTGTGTTATCTTCCATTACTTGAATTCTTAACAATAATACATTTTTGTATGGTTATTTTCAGGGCAGTAAGTAAGTAAGTAAGTAATCTTTATTTATATACCGCCTTTTCACTGCAGATCTGAGTCTCAAAGCGGTTTACAATTGTTTTTTATTTTTATTTGGGCATTTGTCTCTCACTCCACTTCATGCCAGAACTATTGTACATATTTTTAGTGGTAGGGGAAACCGGAGTACCCGGAGGAAACCTACGCAGACACGGGGAGAACATGCAAACTCCACTCAGAAAGGCCCTGGTCTGACCAGGATTCGAACCCAGGACCTTCTTGCTGAGAGGCGAGAGTGCTGTTCACTCAGCCACCGTGCCGCCCAGTAAAAAGCAGAGTTAATAATAATGATGCATTGGATTAACTCAAGCTCTTTTGGACACTCAAAGACGCTTTATGTCATTATTTAAAATGAACAGTGACGAGGCCAGGTTCTTTTAATGAGACAAAAAACGTAGAAGCTAGCACTGCTTAATTACCACATGTTTCAGCAAAATTCTTCCGCCTTCGTCAGAGGTGACACGTGATGGTGTGATGTGTCTCTTATCAGCTGTTGTTGCCAGACGCGGTCAGATCCGCCTCGTTGTGGTCTCTGGAGAAGTGAATCCCAAGTGTGAGGCAAGGTGAAAGGCCCCTCATCTCTGCTGATGGTCCGCTTCCTGCTTTCAATCACTTCTCGAATCCATATTTGGTATTCATGTTCTTCACAACAACAATGGCGGCACGGGGGCTGAGTGGATTGCACTCTTGCCGGGGTCTTTCTGAGTGGAGTTTGCATGTTCTCCCCGTGCTTGAGTGGGTTTCCTCCGTGTACTCCGGTTTCTCCTATACACTAAAAACATGCACACTAGGTTAAATCCTCAACCTCTGGTCCTGACCAAGCCGAGCATCAACATCTGGAGATGGGTTCCCGGGCGCTGTTACTATGGCGACCACTGCTCCTGACATAAGCCTTGGCGGCATCAGGATGGGTCAAATGCAGAGGATGAATTGCCCTACGGGGATCAATAAAGTCCACCTTTACCTTTACCTCTTCCGTTCGGACTATTTTTTGATTTTCTCTTTTATATGATTTTCTCTTTTGCAATGATCAGCAAAATGATTTCTCTGGGAGTCCTAGAGTTAGCGTTTTGGAAATGCGGGGCCGTGTCAGTGTTGCGGCAGTCAGGGGGAAGGTTTCACTTACCTTACTGTGAAATATTCCAAGCAAATCAAAAGCACCTTAAAGATACTCTTCTGTGGGGACCGGAGCTTTGTCATGGAGCCAATGTCCCGCTACTAAAAAGAACATGAAGTTTGTCCTCAACTGTTCCTCCTGCTGTTGCGTCAGTGAGATTAATGACTCCATCTGCAGCAGGAGTCGCAGTCAAAGCCACTGGATCATCACTTTTCTCCGAGGGAGGAGGGTCTAATTAACAGCCCTGTGTCTCTGAACGGGACAGAGGCGGCTCCTGGTGGGACGCCTCGGTGCAGCACCTCTGCCCCTCTGTCCACTCGCATCACTCTCATCACAGGCTCTGGGCGTACGCCACTCCTACAACGTTCATATTTCTTTACTTGGTTTGACTGTGAGGTTTCTGGCAGTTAGGTATGTGTTCTGATGTAAAAATGTGGAAACAAACAATACAGTTTTGTCAATAATAAGATAAGATATGCCTTTACAATACAGCAGCATAAAAGGAGGAGATTAAAGCACTTGATTCAAGGATAGGTCACATGTGGAGTACACAGTGTAGTCGGCAGGAGGTATTTATAGATGTTTATGTTATACTTAAATCAAGAAGTTTATGTTTAGCAACTGATATTGTACAGAAAATATACAATCTACTGCACAATAACATAACAGTGTGTTGTGTGGAATTTTTGACACGGGTTAGAAAGAAATCAAATACAACTTATTCTTCTATTCATCTCAGAGGACTTAACAAAACCATTGAAATCACCAACACAGATCAGAGAATCAACAGTTAAGACACAAAATAAACACATATGTATTGGTTTATAGGGAGAGACCAATGTCCATGAATGTTGATAAATGTCCATACATGTTGTAGAATGTTAAAGTGTCCTGGATCATCACCACAGTCCTTCTAGTTAGACACTAAACTGTCCAACAGACCCTCCTGCATCGGCAAGGCAAAACTCTACAAATAAGCACTTTCTTCCTCCGAACCCTTTTAAAACTGTATTTGTTATTTGTCTGTTACATTGATGCATGTGAAGATTTATGCTGTGCAGGTACCAAAATAAAAAATTAAAAATAATCACATCTATAATCGATACAGTATGATTTTAGAGATGTCTGTGAAAGAGGGTCATTTTCTCCAAAATTGTCCAAAAGTTGTGATTGTATGTTTTGTGCTCCAGCTACAATAGATTTATATTTCTAATAATCATAGTCCACAATGTCAGTAACATCAGCAGCTTTTTTCCATTTAAAAACATTGTCAAAATCTAAAATTTCTCACAGGTCTCACAAGCTCTAAAACACCTGCAGTATTTCCAACGTTGCAGCTCGAGTCTTGACTAGAACCAGGAAGTACGACCACATTAGTCCAGTCCTCAGGTCTCTGCACTGGCTTCCTGTGGCTCAAAGAATAGACTCTTTATTGGAGTGGATAGCACTCTCGCTTCACAGCAATAAGGTCCTGGGTTTGAATCCCAGTCGGAACCGAACCTTTTTGAGTGGAGTTTGCATGTTCTCCCCGTGTCTGCATTGTCCGCTTTCCCCTACCACTAAAAACATGTACAATAGTTCAGGGTGAATGAGTGTGTGGTTGTGAGTGCGACTGTGGGACGACCGATAGAAATTAGCCCAATGCTACAATCCGGAGTGTGTTCATTATAAATACGTAGATAGATACTTTATTGACCATTAACATGCATTGTCACAACTACATAATCAATAAACAAACAATTTGCACAAGAAGGGATGAAACTTTTTTGTATGGCAAGCCAGATCTGAAGAGCTGGATTTTGTGAATCTGGCTTTTCACAAACTACTTCCCAGACCAGCTTGGCCTTCCCTCAGAGGCTGAGTTGGTTTCATTGTGTACTCTGGTGTGAGGCCATGGCGCTGCTTTACTGTCTATTCTCTGAGCCACAGGAAGTCAGTGCAGAGACCTGAGAACTGGACTAGTGTGATCGTACTTCCTGGTTCTAGTCAAGACTCGAGCTGCAACGTTTGAAATACTGCAGATGTTTTAGAGTTTGTTTGGAGAGACCTGTGAGCAATTTTTCTGGTCCTGACAATGTTGTGGTAAAAAGCTGCTGATGTTACTGACATTGTGGAAGATAGAAAAAGCAGTGACCGCCATAGAAAAGTAGTCTACAGCTGTCATTCAGGCAACATAATCTCAACCCAGATGCACTGTATATTTTGTTTTGTGTAGAAGCAGCGAGGCCTCTGCTGCTGCTCCATTCGCCTGTGTGCAGCTGTCAGGTGGAGGTGAGAGGAGCGGGGCCCGTCCTCTGGGGCCGGGGTTAATGGTGTCCAGGCTGCAGGAGCTAAAAGCAGCCAGCTCCAGGGCCCTCCGAGGCCCCAGGTGAACGCACTGTGGTATTTGGAGAGCGGCGATAACGGAGGAGGGTCCTGGAGTCGGCTCAGTGTGGATCAGAGAGTGACTTTGATGTTAGCCGCCTCTGACAGCAAGAGGAATGACTATGCAGAAGGATCACATTAGGTTATAATATATTTGACTGGTTGTCCTGGTCCTTTGTGTTCTGTTTGATATATTGTTTTAAAATTGTACTTTTATCGATGTATAACTGCCATGTTATTGCTTTTATTTTATTTTTGAGTGCTTTAATTCCATACGTCAATGTTTCATTTATATTTTATAGATACATTTGATCCATCCATGTTTTCCACAGAGGCAGTTGTCACCAATAGGCCCCAATAGGGAAATCTCATACTATTGTTTACCGCAACAAAAAAATGTTTCAGATAAAGTATCAAGTGTTGCTGTCTCACATATTCTAAACGTGTGTGTAGAATTGTTTTGTTGATTTTAGGAACAGATAACTAAAAACTCAAAAAAGCAATCATAATACAGTAGCTAGGGATCAGAAATTCAGAATAAAGTTAAATTAGCTTATGCATCTCTATTCTTTACACAAACTAGATGCAGAACTGGACATCATGAGAAAACACAAGACAGAGTTCAAAATATTATCAATATATAACATGTTTATTGTTATGCAGTGTCAAAAGGATATTGGCACAAGTAAATGTACTGAGAAAACTACCCCAGTCAGCAGAGGACTCATCTGTGATAAGTGGCATTTTGCAAAGTAGAGAAATGTATGCGTCATGTGAAAATAAACATGGATTAAAGCTGGGGTACCTAACTTTTTTGCTCATAAATAATACATATTGTTTATCCCAACAGAAAGAGTCTTGTAAAAGTAAAATGTTGTGAGAAAATCAGACAATAACAGGCTGTCTTCATATGATTAGGAAACATATTTTGTCTAATTGTGAGTATAAGACCGTGGGCTGAGAACTGATCGGGCAGAGTAAACGTGGTCCTGTCTTTTTTTGATTTTCTGTTTGAAAAAGTTGATCTAAAGATGCGACAAAAACCAGGCCAAAAACACATGCATGAGAAAACTAACTTGGGCAAACCAGTTTGATGGGCTTCATTACATGGGCAATTATTTTTGTGGTTTAAAAGTTCAGTATTGCGATCAAAGCCCCACATTTTGATAATACATTTTGTAATTTAACCGGCCTCTAGATTATTTTTGTTAATCTGGAAGCAGGCCACACCCTCTGTCCACTCTTATCTGAATGAGAGACATTTGCGACTAGAAAAGTTAAAAATGCGGTCAATGATTTCTCCAGATGCAATTTTTTTTAATACTGTGGGGAAACGTTCCTAAACCCCTGAAGTAGTCATGTTATCGTGTGTTTTCAAATAGGAATGGACATGACCAGATGCCTGTAGCCTCAAAAAAATAAATCATAATCATTTTGAGAGCGGGGATATAGAACAAAGCCAATGGGAGTGGTTTTGAGTCTGTGCTAGTCGGGCGCTAATGCTAAGCTAACCTGAACCTGCTTAAAGGAGCTATACCCGTTTCTGCAAGGTTTGAATGTTTAGCGCCGCCTCCAACTCGCTCACAGGCTTCTCATTTCCTCTACGCTCTCATCCCACGGAGCCTTCTAGTTTTATTTGCGATCTGATACTTATGCTAACATTAGCATTAGCGCTATACAACAATCACGGATGAAATGGTACAAAAGCAACGCACTGCTAACAAAATATATAACTGAAAGATTGCCGCTAGTTCCGCGTCCGAATGTAGTCCGACCATAGATAGATCGGGTATAGCATCTTTAAGGGAAAATTGGAAATATTTCTTACAACATGGCAACCTTTTCTTGATACTTTTTTTTACTTGAATGCGTAACTTTTGAGCTGAAATGTAAACGCTGAAAAGATCCTTGTTTTGTCTGTTCTTAAGGGAAAACCAAAAAAATATGATTAATGGCAATTCACTTTTAAATGTATGCAATACTGTACTATTACATACTTGTTTTTATTGAAAAAACTCAAATAAAGAAAACAATAAAAAGTTCAGTCCCGCAGCTTTAATTAACAAAAAAAATGTGTGAAAATGCACATTTATTGATATAGTCCTGAGGCTTCATTTTAAGACATGCACTCTACTGTCCAACTGATTACAACAGATGCAAATTCTATGCGCTTTCGCTTACATTTGCCATATTGCTACTTAAAACACAATGCAGTATGTGTATGTGTGTTGATACTGTCAGTCACACAACTAAACAAACGCTTTCTCCCACCAAACTAACCACAATATTACAAAAAGACAGAAAAAAAAGGTAATTTGTTCCCATTCCCATGAAAACCCTGCCTCTGCTGCTCATGCATTAATGCTTCAGACACTTTCCAAGCAAAGTTGACAAGACAGATGACTGAAAACGAAAGGAAATAACTTTAAAAACTAGGACACGGCGGATTCCTTTGTCGTGTCGCGTCCCCAAATGTCCGTTCCTCTCCAGTATTCCGTCCTCGCCGTATTCCCGTCCTCTTTAATTCAGGTTGAAGGACGACAGCGAGTCCTTTCTCTGGCGGAAGACCCGAATCAGGTGACAACATCCTGGAGGTATAGGGCCTTCCTGAATAACCTACACAAAAAAGACACAATAAGGTCACATGTAATGAGTGTCAAAGAAAAAGAATCGACTTCATCAAACGTTGTAGTCATGTTGCATTGTTAGCCATGTTGTTGTTGTTGTTATTAGAAGAAGATCCTGGGTTCGAATCCCGGTCGGAACAGGGTCTTAACGAGTGGCGTTTGTATGATCTCCCCGTGTCTGCATAGGTTTCCTCCGGGTACTCTGGTTTCCTCATCCGCTAAAAACATTCCCAATAGGTAAAAGTCTCCAGCTCCTGTACTGTCCTGACCAAGCCGAGCATCAACATCTGGAGATTAGTCCCCGGGCGCTGTTACTACGGCGACCACTGCTCCTGACGGAAGCCTTAGTGGTCAAATGCAGAGGATTTAGGTTGATATTAATTCTGCTGCTTATTCTGCTCATATTCATATTCTCATATTCTCCGCTGCTAAAGTATATACACACATCTGTGAATACTTCTGAACCAAGTGCAATTATAGCTCCAGAGTTTATTTTATTTTATTCTTTATCTTGTGCAATCTGAGTGCTCTTATTTCCTTCTTTCTCTGCTGTAACGTGCGCAACGATGACACTTAAATTTCTCCACTGCGAGACGAATAAAGGAATATCTTATCTAATCTTTATTGTCCCTGTAAGTGCACATTTCATTTCACATTTGGGTCTCCAACCACAATGCCTTGAGAGCTACCTATAGCTCGCCAAGTCATTCATAGTATCTCCCCAAACGGTTGATTTTATGAACCTTTACTGTAAATTTACTTTGATACTTTGTGCATCAAAACATTATTAAAGCCTTTTTGACAGTTCTAAAATAAGTAATGCCTTGTAATAGCGTTCTTGAAGTAAGATTAATGTCCTCTGCTGCCTCTGTGTGGTTCATGGAGAGCTGTGGAGGGTAGAACAGGTCAGAGAACCCACATGTGTGTGTTTGTCCTCATGGTCTCTGGGGCTGGTTTGGTTTTATTATTTTTTATTTATTCATTTATTTCAGGCAATGGCTACGTGGGTAAGCAAGGTAATTAAATGCAGTTAAATAATATATAAAATGCAAAAAACAGACAAAGCACACAATAAAAAAACACCCAGTATAAACGATAAATGTACGGTATAAACATGGCCGTATAATTCTGCCTGAAAAGGAGTGGGAAGAAGAAAAAAACGTATTTAATCCCACTCCTTTAATCCCCATTCAGTGATTAAACTATCAACTTCACTGTTACTTTGTTCAAGCATTATTTTACAGTGTTATATCATAATGGCGTTACCACGGGCAACGAGGAAATTTAAATTATAACAACAATTAACAATGCAAGACTTTATGAAAGAATAAAAAACTATGTCCAGAAGCACCTCATTATAATGTTAAATACAAGTGCTGTGGGTGTGTGGAGCTGATCTAGTGTCAGAGACCGTTAGCAGAAGCATATTTCTCATTTCTTTGGACTGAACGTCACATCAATATGCCGCAAAAAATACTGGAGACTCCTATTTTGGGCTGAGGAGCGCGGCTCGGTGCCTCAGGGGTTGGTTTGTTGGGAATAATTTCATCAAAACTATATATACAAGATCAGTTTTTACATACACACACAGATACACACGCATGCATACCAGTGGGGGAGGGTCCCAGCTCAAAAGTGGCCAAAATGACGTGCGCTGACATGCTTGCTATACCACCCCGGGCCGATGGGGGTGGACCCAGAAGTAGAATTAGCCAATGCTAACATATAGCATTGGCAGACCTCTCAAAAACGTCTCAATGTGTGTCAATGCTGAGGGGGGTGGATTTTTTTGGTCCACTCTACTTTACTTGCTGTGAATTTTTGAAGTCTCGTTCAAATGAATGGAGCTGCGCCGGCTGACGCATGCGCAGATGCGTTTTTTCACAATTTTCTTGTGGGCGGGACCACTCGCGGCCATTTTGGATAGCTCCAGTAGAGCACATTTTTTGGCCCATTAGTTAGAACGGCGGAGATAGGCGTGACTCTGTCCGTTAATATATACAGTCTATGATGCATACACAGAGACACACACACAGAGACACAGACCTGCAGACACATAGACTTACATACACACACACAGACAGATATACAGACACACACACACATACAGATACACACAGATACACACACACACACCTGTTTCCCTGCATCAGTCCCGGTGCTCTATGGCTCCCTCTCAGAGGACACGTCTCCCTCGGCTCCGCTGCTCTGGTTTGTGTCCTGTCGGGTTCTCAGGGCTCCTCGCTCTCGTCCGGACTCAGAGGGACCTTTGGAGCGTGTCTTCTCTTTCCTCTGCTGCTGCTTCTCCTGCTTTGACAACTGTGGAACGACAATAACACTGTGGCGTAAACATGTATTTTATTTCAACAAGAAGCCTTCATTGTCGGGATAAATAGGTCTTAGTCTTAGTATGCTGTTGGAAGGTTGAAATAACTGTTTTTAATTAGTTTTTAGCAGTCAGGATTGAATTAAACATATAAACCTGTTTGGGGTCTGAGGGTCCAGAGGGCGACGACAGATCGATGGTAACAGGTCCGTCATTCTGAATATGAACCTGCATCCGTGCTCCAAACTGTCCGTCTACAGACACACAAAAACAATTATTAAGTTTGGTTCCTTTCCTTAAAACAAATCTTGGACAAAATGTAATGTCCAGCTATCTAAACTCAGTACTAACTTCAATGCAAAAAGGCCATGTCATCATATTTTCTTTAAACCAGGGTGAATAGGTCTAATTAGACTGGAACTAGGTGTTCTCCACTGCTCCTCTCTCAGGGCCTGACCCGATTCACTGCTTCTGCCGCCACCGCAGCGTCACAGAGGAGATAACCCCGCTCTGCAAACTGCCCTAACCTTACAAGTAAAAAGAAGCAATTAAGTACAGCATAATATCATGAATCAAGCTAAAATTACACAAATCACAAGAACCAATACCCAGGGTATAAAAGCGGCCGGCGGAGTCTTGTTATGAATAAATGTGTGAAATGCTAGAGCTGTGTTAAGCAAAATCCGAGCTGTGGATTAGGTCCGAGCAGTTAAGAAATATTACTCATTTGATCGCCATGACAACAGATACCATTATTGAGGAGCAGAATTCACCAAGCGTTGGATTTTTCACCTACTAATAAGGAACCTGAGCTGGGATTAGAAAGTCGTGAGAGAGGTTAGTTTTAATAATAATAATAATAATAATGCATCGGCCACAACTGCCCTGGGGCACACTGACAAAAGCGACACAGCGGCACACGGCAGTTTTACCCTACTGATGACAAGGTAATAGTAATAGTAATCCTGCAAAAGTATTTCTCATTAATTACTTTTTGCAATGTCTCAGGTGTTTAATCAATCAATTAGGTTTTTTACAAATCCCATGGATGAGTTTGCGCCTGGTAATTTTCAAATTTGAAACAAAATTCAACCTCTCCCTCTGGTGGCAACAAAGGGAATAACAGGCAGAAAGCATTGTTTTACCTTAATTCTTATTTCTCCATAGATTTTTACTGGACGAGATTTTCTACATTCTACATGAAATGCCTTGTCTCTCCTTGTTTTTGTTATATTTTTGTACAATGACAACGTGAATCATCCAGAGGGGCATCCATAATACAAAGGCTCTATATGTACATTGTGGATTTATCCTAAAAAAATCATATTAAAGCTACGGTGCCAAACTTTTTATCTATAATAATCCATGTTTGTATCAGTGGGGGCGGGTTCCGGCTCAAAAGTGGCCAAGATGACATGCGCTGACATGCTTGCAATACCACATCGAGACAAATGGCTGGACCCGGAAAGGGAATTATTCAATGCAAATGTAAAGCTCCGTTCCACATGTGTGTCAATGCTGAGGGGGGGTGAATTTTTTTGGACCAGTCTAGTTTACTCGCTGTGAATTTCTGAAGTCACTCGTTTAAATAAATGGGGCTTGCGCTGGCTGACGCATGCGCAGATGCGTTTTTTCACATTTTCCAGCCCCCGCGGCCATTTTGAATCACTCGATGAAAGCCCAATTTTTGGCCCAATAGTTAGAACGGTGGAGATAGGCGTGACTACGTCCGTTAATATTTACAGTCTATGGTTTGTATTTGTGAACAAATCAGACAAAACGCCATTTTTATCTTTGCCTCCTGCTGGTGTCGAGTCAGAACTAAACAAGGGGAGGCAGCATTTCAGATTCATGCTGCTGAAATCTGGAACAATTTTCCTTAAAATGTGAGACAGGCTTCTTCTCTGATCATGTTAGAATCCAGGATAAAAACAGTTCTGTTGGCTTTTTTTTATGTACTGTGATTGTTTTAGATTTGAATGCCTTATGTGATTGTTTTTATCTTGTTTTGTATAGCACTTTGAGTTGTCTTGTGTATGAACTACTGTGCCATACAAATATACTTGTCTAGCCTTTTGGAAAACATGTTATCTTTTGCATAGTCAAGAAAGAGAGCTGCGACACTATTGACTTTTTGGGCAGAGACTGATTGGTTGAAGAGGCCAAAAACACATGCATGTGAGAAGTTGCAGAATATAAAAAACAGCACTGTCCTATTTGTGTTTTGCTTTGAATTTCTTCCTCAAACAAAAGGTTGTGCAGAGTGGATATGATTTTGCCGCATCCTCAGGGGAGACAGACTCGCCTTTAATGAGCTCGGGTTTGTAGGAGCTTCTCATGTTCTCCAGGATGCTGTTGTAGAAGGGCTGGGCGAGCTCTGCAGGCATGGCGGCGTGGAAGTCCGGCTTGTTGCCCTTTAAAATGCACTGCAGCGTGAACTGGCTCACACACAAAACCTCCAACTCTTTCTCCATCACACTCTTAGTCCACATTTTCCCGTTCTCGTCTTCGAAAAGGCGCAGGTTGAGGATCTTTCGAACGCTGGGGGAGAAAAAAAGGCGACGTAAAATAAATGGCTAAATTTAGATCAATGAACCTGTCATTTATTCAAACACAACACGACAATAGAGTTTATTTTTAGACTGAAGAGGAATAAAAATAGTGCAAGCAACTCAAAAATAGATAAAAGCCACACACTAGTTTTATTTTTAGCAATTGATTTCATGGATTTAAAAATGCAGGTATTTAGTGATTGGTATTGGTGGAGACATGCAATGGGCTAATATTGCAAATGTAAATTAGATATATAATACAGTACATTAGCTGTCCCTTAAATATTTCAAGAAATAAAAACTGTATGTGACTTTCTTAATAAAAAAAATATATGGGATGTGCTGGGGTTAACTATTTATACTATACATACAATCAAATACATTGATTCCAAACAATATATGTAGATTTATCAACATTGGTTATCTGACCCTAATGCACCCTTATGGCTCTATGTGTTTAAACTGATTGATTCTCTGATCTATGCTGACAAATCGACAGCTTTGTGAAGTCCTCTGAGATAGCTACTGTTGTGATTTAGCTGTACAAAAATAACATGAATTTAATTGAATTGAATATATCATGCAACAATTCACCATGTAACAAGACATACATGTGATGCCTATGTTGTATTACTTTGCAGTGCAGTAAATATATATAAATGTTTACTGATAAATATATAAAAAATTCTAATATGAGTGAGACGCAAAAAGATTCTCAAAACCATTAACTTGACATTATACGTACAGGTAATCAGCATCCTTCTTTGTGTCATCCACGGATATACCCAGCAGTATACACAAACCACGTCCTATTGAACTGACTTGCTCCTCTCCCACTGCACACAACAGAAGAAAACATAGAAAGTTTAAGTACTATTTATTTAACAGGGATTTTTTTTCTAGATCAAATAAAATCAATCCTAGGAAAACACATTTACACAAGCCCTAGCCACAGTGTCATGTGCAAATATTGGCCATCGGCGAGCCATGCTATTATGTAAACAAACTGGGTTGACATGTGATGGGAACAATAACAACAATGATCAGCAATTTGAATGTTTTTTTTTTTTTGTAATTGTGATTGAATTATTAATTTAAAAAATAAATAATGTGATCTACTGTAATAATTGAATAGAAGCATAAACAAAAGCGAATAATGTGAATGCCTTTAGCTGTGAGCGTATTGAATGGGGGCTGCTGATGATGCTAATGCTAGGTCAAAGAGTTAGCACGGGATCCCGGACGATCGAGGGAATGGTCTGGTCCCGCGGTGATTAAAGATCCCAGTCAAGGTTAAAGTGGGTTAAATGACGGCTCACCTGTCACAGAGGCACTTGTGACCCGCTGAATTATGGCTTTCATGGTGAAGTAGTAGTGTGTGGAGCTCCTGAGAAATACACGCTGTCAAAACAACTTCCGTAAACGCACGGACCAATGGCGGCCTCTAGTGGACATACAGTGAAGTGTGTAGTTACATATCACTGTTTAGTGGTTTTATTTTTGTGATTTGTTGATTGAACTGAATTGTATTGTATTTCTCTGTGTGTTAGTCAATGATATTTCTGTGTGTTTGCCAATTGTTTGAATCTTGCCGCAAATTCCTTGATATGTAATTGATGAAACATTAATATCTGTCTTAAATACAGTCAAGTACAACCTTTTGAGGTGATTAAGGACCAGTTTGAACTCCAAACTCACAAATTAAAAAAATAAATAAATAAATAAATAAATAACAAAGCAATAAAGTTAATAGGTGCCCAGAGTTGGGACTAAATGTGGGAAACATCTGAGAAAAGCTTCTTCTCCTGACAATGTTCAAATCAAGATTAAAACAGCTGTTTCAATTGCTGGATATTGCTCTAATTCTAAAATACATTATTTGTACATCAATGTTGTGATTATTTTTGTAGAATTAGTTTAATGCTCTGTCTCTTGCATTTTAATAGTGTGTCTTATACAAATATACTGTACATGTCTATTCATTATGTTTTCCACCAGGATTTGTGCGTTTATTATTAATAATCAACACTTATTTTCTACATACAGTATTCAAATTTGCCCTCTTCATGTCTATAAAGTGTAATAATAGTAATCCAAGAGTCAATGTGTGAATATTGTAACCGTTCCACAGCTACTACACACAGCTGATGAAACTAAAATTATGACGGAGACGTTTAAAACTTCATTGAATAACATTATTTATTGTATGTTGTGTGATGGTGATGACAAGTTGTGGGAAACTTATAATTCAATGTCGTGTATCATTTAAACAAAACAAGAGATTCAAGACATCAACCCACATTTCAATAACCTAATAGTTCTCCCAGTCTTGTCCATTCATTTCCTTTAGTCCATGTTCAGTTATTTTCCATCGCCTCTGTCTCCAGATTGAGCTCCAGCAGAGAATGAGTCTAAAAAGTTCATGATGCGTGTACTGAGAGGCACAAAGTCTTTCTTATAAACGATCACAGTTTTAGTATGACCCGATTGATGGACAACTTCATTTGGGTTTGGTTCTTTTTCTTCTGCTTCTTGCTTTTGACTGGACTCTGAAACAAGAAATAAACAACTGATTTGAATGCATTGGTGCACTTAATAGTAAAACCAGCAGACAGGGATCATTACACAATATTGTTTTTAATCACATCCTAAACTTGTAACATGGAATTTTATATACATATTATTTCTGGTGTTTATTCTGCTCATATTCTCATATTCTCCGCTGCTAATGTATAATATAGACATCTGTAAATACTCCGAACCAAGTGCTATTATAGCCCAGAGTTTATCTCATTTTATTTTTATTTATTTTATCTTAAATGTATTGTCTATTATCATTGTCTAATAGACTTTGCTGTGTGCAATCTGAGTGCTCTTATTTCCTTTCTCTGCTGTAATGTGCAACGATGACACTGACATTTCTCCACTGTGAGACTAATAAAGGTTTATCTTATCTTATCTTGAAATTATCACATTATTATTATTATGATTCCCCAAGTAAAAATAAAAAAACTTGCACTAAGAGTTCTTATGGTTAAAAAAGAAACTACACCAGTGCAACATTCTCAACAATATTCATAGTCTTCAGGCAAAACAACCATTTATATTTAGTTATAGCATAAGGACTCTATCCACAATTCAATTTCATTTCTGTTCTTAGGGAATAATGTTGCCTCTACTTCACTTTCATTATGCCTATTATTTACAAATGGGAATAGTTCTACCATTTGTGTCTACATTTTTACTCCATCTCTTTTTCAACTAATGAGCCTTACCTGACCATGCTGATCCATCCTAAACTACACAACTTGTATAAGATAAGCTTTTCAGATTCATGCTGCTAAAATCTGGAACAGTCTTCCTGAAGATGTGAGACAGGCCTTTTCTCTGACAATGTTTAAAACCAGGTTAAAAAAAACGGTGCTGTTTAGCTGTGCGTACAACTGAGAGATTTTATATTTTTATCTTTCGTTTTAATGTTCTGTGATTATTTATGATTTTAATGCTTTCTTGTTCAGCACTTTGAGTTGCCTTGTGTATGAATTGTGCTATACAAATAAACTTGCCTTGCCTAAGACTGAAAAACCTGCACTGTTATTGACACTGTTGCCACTTTTTTATTGTACATAATATATCCTGTATTTAACATGTTTGCACATTTCCTCTCTTTTTTTGCACAATCTTGAGTGTTCCTATCCATGCCAATGTGACATGTACATTTCTCCTTTGTGAGATAAATAAAGAATATCTTATCTTAAACCAATGGGCTACATTATTTCTGTGATCATGTGAGGCTCTGTCTTCTGGGTTGCCAGTTTTTGTTTTTTGAGAAATCCAGTTGGTTTGGTCACTGCTTAAACCCCAGACATACGTGTTTAACATTCTAGCAAGACACTGGCAACCAAGGTTTTAGACTGTGCCTATAATCCATCATAAATATACAATCTTCTATGTGCTCCATGTGACATTTAGACCTAGCATAGCATCACCTACCCTTGAGCCAAAGTTGATATTGTGACTACGATAAAAGACAAATCCAGCCACACAACAAATGAGATTGAGGTGAATACATGTAGCTTTAATGCAGTAGTGTCCTGCTCACCTGGTACGTCATATTTCCCTGTGTACTGGAAAAAGAAGTAGGAACCGAGCATGGTCCAGACTCCCAGAGCGTAGACTATGGACGCCCTGGTGTTCCACTGCATCACTTTGTTCGGCTCCATGATGACCACAGTCTGTGTTCAGGTCAGTCCATGTATGAAAACTGGGTTAAAATCAGGTACAGTTCTCAGATAGTTCTCAACAAAACAACGCAGCTGCGAGAGGTGTCTTTCAGGGCACCGCCATGACACTTTAACAGGAAGTACACGCGATACAACTTCCGGTATGAACTGGGGGTATTTCAAAAAAACTACACGTAGACTGTATGTATTATTTAGCACACTAAAATAATAATAATGACACGAGTAATAATAATAATAATTGATTTAGGTGATAATGATAATGATGATGATATAATAATACATATAAATTTGTAATTCACAAAACAATCTTTGCAAAGTGAATAATAATGGTAATTCATTTGTTTCTACATATTGGTGACAGTGGCTCAGTTGGCCTTTGAGCCTGGAGATTGTAGGTTGGAGCCCACCATGAGACCATCTCCACCGACTCCCACTGTGTCTTTGGGAAAGTCGCTTAAGCCCACTTGCCTAAAAGCCCCCAGATTCAGATTCATTTATTTGCACTGTCTTCTCTGTCTGGTGCACACTGGGGTAGCACAGTTTTTCCAATGTGGTTTTACTGCAAATGGTAAATAAATGAATCTGAATCCGAATTTGAATCTAAGGCTATCTATGAAAAGATCAAGGCTGTGACGTTTTTGGGACTCACCACCTGCAGGGGGATCAGGAGCTGGTGCTCTGTGACATCTCTGATTATCAACCCCCACGCATACATGGATTTAAAATGGAAATAAGATGGATGGATGGTTTTATGTAGCGCATAAAAAGGCGGTTCACATATCATTATTTATTCACGCCACACACAGTGGTGATAGTCACAGCTGCCCTGGGGCACACGGACAAAGTACTGCACAGACAGCATAAAAAGAAAAAAATACAGGAAAACAAAGGAGACAGAGGACACACAGCAAGAAAGACAAATCAAAGACAATGTAGAACAGAAAAATACAACCCATTGAGTTTAAAACAGACATTTAAAGGAAGGCTATTCAATTAAAGTGATGGTGCAAGCATTATCTCCTTGGGCAGGTTGCACCAAAGCCCAGAGAAGACACGATCACCTTTAATCCAAGGATTTAAGGCTGTAGGCGGCTTGTAGGGGGTTAAAAGTTAAAAAATGTAGCTTGGTGCCAGATCTAGACAGGCTTTAAAATGAATTAGTAATAAAAACCTTCTGTTAAAACCTTTGATAAATCTGGTTTGTCTGGATGGAGGACCATGCTTTTTCCATGGGCCTGTTGTTCCCTAGCTCCCACAGACAAACCTATCTCCATGAAGAAAGGAGAATTCTACAGAGTATGGTTACTTTAGAATGTCTATTGTTATTGAACTGATGCAGGTGGTCCCTCGGCTAAAGTTGCTCTTGCTTTTATCTTTTTTGATAATTTGAAATGTTGATTTTTTTAGTTTTTTGTTGGTTATTTTTTCATTTGTTAAACCAGTGTCCTGTTTTCCTACAACACATAGATCAGTGCATTTGCTTTTGGGAGTTTTCTCCATTACAATCAACAACATCAATTCCAGCTAAATTGGTATCGGTTCTCTAGCACTAGTGGTCACGCCAATATTTGGATTGGGCCTTTTGATTTACAGAACAGAAAAATGCACAATTGGAGTTGGCTGTGATCTGAAGGGAAAGCAGCAGTTATGGAACGGCAAAGTTTGAAGTTCCTGTTGTTGACATCCCCTGACATTTCTAGCAGTCCTCCTCACGATCTCTTTATTCTGCAGATCTTCAGGTGCACATGACTCACATCACAGTTATTATCCTGACACTGGCTCGGATAAAGGTCAGCTTTGACAACTGATGAGCCTCGCAGCTACTTTTTCACCTGAACAAAAACGTGTTGAAATCTGCCAATGATTTTGCAGCTATGATATGAATTCGTATAAAGATCGTGTGGGTGTAGCTCCGAGCCAAACCCAGAAAACCATGTCCAATTTGGTGTCCAGTCAAGTCTTCAGGCCAGAAAAGTTATAAAATTATAGAAAAATTAGTAAAACTTGGCCAGAAAAGTAATTCCGTGTCTGTCTGGATAATGAAGTAACAAATATGAAATAGTTTATTATAATCTATAACACGGCTCCTCACAGCAGCAGTAGAACGCTCCATTGTTTTGAATGTCATTTCAAAACGTTTTTCTATTTCTTGATAAAGGACCTCTCAAAACAATAATGACCACTGCCCTTTGGCAACGCACCCTCTGCTTGTAATTCAGATGTGTACATTACTCCGCAAGTAGTTCCGGCCACTCCGGAGCTAGCCACGCTCAATAAACGCAAATACCAATCAATCAACACATTTAAATGTTAATTGGAGAATACATTATACATATACATTCTGAATACACATGCACGGAGGTTTTCAGGATTTTTTTGTTTACGTTTTCATGACAAAAATAAAAAGAGGTCGCAAAAAAACCTGGAAGTAGATTCTGGGACATTATAGAACATATTTGCAGAGGATCGAATTATGGATTTAGGTTAGGTTTATGTATGGGTCACTCACCGCTGATGTTCAGAATTCTTTGTTCAGTTTTCATGCAGTTCGACAGAGTTCTAGTTTGGAAGTTGCTAGCCTAACTGTTACTCTCATAGCCACGGGAACTATTTTATTTACTGTCATTAAATAAACCTTTCGGCATTCATAAGAGTGGACTGAAGTGTGTTCTGTTGGTACAAAGCCGTATAATAAGCGGGGTCCGCTTCAGGGCGGAAGCTTCGCCCTGTTGGTACTTATTATCCGATAATGACCTGCGTGATATACATTATCCCTCACGTATTGACTCTTCAGGCGTCTTCACTTGTGTCAGACTGAAATCTCTTGGATTCTTTTAGAAGAAATGTCAGATCATTTACTATTGGGCAAACAGATATAGTCATGGTATAAAGATGAAATCAATTATATATTTTGTTGTTTTTTGTTTCATAGAGAGACAAAGGCAGAAGAAGAGGATATTCTGCGATCAGGCAAACACCAGGGCTGTACCGAGATAATTGTTTAAATGCAATTAATGAAATACATAAATTCGATTCAATTCAATTTATTCTTATATAAATCACAATAGTTAGTTATCTTGGAAGACTTTCCACAACTGTTGAATTCGCCAACACAGATCAGAGAATCAAACAGAAAATACATTGACATTGGTCCATAAGTGTTGATAAATAGAGAGTCCTGGATCATCACCACTGTCCTTTCAGTTGGACTAAATAGTTGTCAACTAATTTAGTAATTGATTAATTGTGTGTCACAAAAATGAAACCGTGCAGCCATAACAATGCAAAGACGTGAAAGTGTATTAACCAAACAAGTGCAAAACATTCTTTCTGTACCGAAGCCTAGAGACGGTATACTTTGTTTATCCCCATAGGAAAATATGTCCTCTGCCTTTGACCCATCCCTCTTTCTGCCACCATAGTCGAGGTAGTGCCCATCTCCAAATGTTGATGCTCGCCTTTATCAGGACCAGAGCTGGATTTTGCCTATTGTTTATGTTATTAGTTTAGAGCACCCGGAGGAAAACTGCGCAAACACAGGGAGACAGGCAGCTACGGTATGGAACGGTCTTCCTGCAGGGGGTTGTGAGACTGGCCTCTACCCTGACCATGTTCAAGACCAGGCTGAAACATGTATTTTCAGCCGTGCTTAGAACTGATTCTCTTTTGTGCTAATCATATATATTTTTTACTTTTAATGCATTTTGTTTGTGTTTTTTTATTTCTCTTGTGAAGCACTTTGAATTGCCTTGTACACGAATTGCGCTAAATACAGATAAATGATGGATTGATTGATTGAGATCATGCAAACTCCACTGAGAAAGGCCCTGTTCTGATCATCGGGAGTCGAAACCAGGACTTTCTTGCTGAGAAGCGAGGTTGCGAACCACTCAGCCAGCGTGCCACTGTACTTGCCTGTAAAGCGTTCCATTTACAAAGAGCATAATGGGAGAAACCTGCTTCTCCTACTTTCAGTTTTAGCCGAGGAGCAGTTCAAAGATTCAGGTGTGAGGATCTGAGACTGTGTAAGCTAGCATACAGATAAGTGAGATTGATTTAACATAAAGAGAAAGTGAATCATCTGCATATGTTTTACTTTAAACTTTCAACCTGAAGCACGCATCTCAGAAAAATGTATATTCCATGTGGACTGAGACGCTATGAGTCACACAAAACATTAAAAATATTTCAGAGCGCTCACGGAGAGAGAGAGAAACCTCTGTCCGAACAAGATGGAGAAGTGACTCATGCACAGATCTTCTTTAATCAATTATTTATTATGACACCCATTTAACGGAGACAAGAAGAACCTTCACTCAGCACAGAATGTGTTTAGCCTTTGGACATTTCTTTCTGAACCACTTTAAAAAATACAACCATGACTAATGTTTTGTACCTGTACTTTTGTCAGTCAGTGTTTCCCAATATGGTTTTCCTCCTGCCTTGTTGTTAATGAGAGGAAACTGGGCCATATTGGAAAACATAACATTTTCTTATTTTATTTGATGTTCTTAACCTTTATTTAACCAGAGTTAGGGTTATTATTAATCCCATCGAGATTAACAATCTTTTTACCAAGGGCAGTTACATAAAATTACAGATTATAAAAACAATAACATGTCAATGAGGACGTCTCAAGTGCTCTCAATCTTGACTTACTGTAAAAGCATTCAATGAAATTAGTTCCGGTAATTTCCAGTCTTTTTGCAACAGAAGCTTTCAAAAGCTTTTATCCCAGTTCTGTGCAGGCAGAAGGAACAGAGAGCGACAAAAGGTTGTTTAAAATCTAAAAAGTAGATGGGGGTCATAATTTACCAAAGGATTTTCTGTCATTCCAAGGTCTCCACCATTTCTTTATTGGGAAGTTGTT